ATCTGAGTGCACTCTGGCGTGCGTTGGGTGCGGCCAGAATGCACTCAGATTCAGACTCAGATTCAGATTTCGAAAACAAGCGCGAGAAATAAACAGTGTAGTCGAAGGGTACGGCCAGATTGCACTCCTGATTCAGATTCAGATTCAGACTCAGAAAACAAAGCGCGAGAAAAAGCAGGCAACCTGCTTAGACTACTCTGTTTATTTCTCGCGCTTATTTTCAGAATCTGAATCTGAGTCTGAATCTGAGTGCACTCTGGCCGCACCCAAAGGGTACCGGCCAGAGTGCACTCAGATTCAGATTCAGACTCAGAAAACAAGCGCGAGAAATAAACAGTGAAGTTAAAGCAGGGTGGCCATAGTGGCAGCAGGCAACCTGCTTAAACTACACTGTTTATTTTTCGCGCTTGTTTTCTGAGTCTGAATCTGAGTGCACTGTGGCCGTACCCAAAGAGTAGTTTATTATACCGGAAAGTTTTTCAATTTCAATTCAATCAATTTGCGATTGTTTTACCTTTAATTTAACTATTTCGGCTATCTAATATGCCATCGATGTTACCAAAGAGCAGAGCCCTTATTACCAAGTGCTAGTGAACCTGTGCCACAACATCCTGAGAGGATCATACTTCCAAATTATTCAAGAACACCTAATACACATTCACGCTGCATATTTACACAATATACATGTGATATACAAATAAATACAATAAACAATATGATACAATTATGTGAAAAATAGTCAATAAATAAGAAGCAAAACTACAGTTTTTATTTTATTCATGATTCCTACCTAACTTTAATAACCTAAGTTTTTCCTAATAGTTATTCTTTAAAATCGCATCGAATAAAATGAATTAGTTGTAATATCAATTCACTTCATACTGAGTTCATACTAAATTCATAGGTTCATAGGTTTCATTGAATATTAAACATAACCTCAAAAAAAAAATAGTTTTCCTAATAATTTAAGTTCTCAGAAGTGTCCGTCAATCATCGTTATTTTTACAGTCATTTACTTACGATTTTGAACCTAGAAAATAATATTTCATGATTATTGGTTCTTAGGCTAACTATGTATGGACGCTGAACAATGTCCTTTACGCGCCGTTTTTGGCCATACCTCAAAAGTTAGTTTTGTCATTTAGCCGCATTTTAGCTTGAGGACGGCAGGTTAGAACAAAACAAAGGAGCGCGAAACAATCACGTCTGTAGGTACAAGTTTTTGGCGCTAAAATACAGCCGAATACTTTTGCCTAATATTCGGCTATTCGGTCAGGGGCCCCGCCGAATATTCGGTATACTGCCGAATATACTATTCGTTGCAAGTCTACTAACTATCTTAGTGACAGGTGTTGTAAAACGGCACTGTTCACGAGCCGGTAGGTAGGTATTTGCTGTATAGGTAAAACACGGATAGCGCTAAAATTATAAATGTTTTTATTTATAGTTTGTTAGTTTTTATTAACTGTATAGGGTTATGATTAATTAAAACAGAATCTGACGACGAGCTTAGAGTTTCTTTCGGAGCGGGTGGTCTTCACTGTACCCTTGACCGGCTGCTGATCCTCTTGAGTCGTTGATGGTTAAGTCTTTATCACGGGCGGTGGTGATGGCAGTTGCTCGCTGTGGATTTCGCTATTATGCTCCTCGTGAAGTAGAAAGGCTGGCTTAAGACGGTCTATAGATATGACTGCTGTTCTGTTTGGCAACTGGACGGAGTAAAACTTCTTATGACTTTCGAGCACTTCGTACGGACCGTTGCGAGGGTGGCGTAAGTGCGCTCTTTGCTGCGTCATTGCGTACGAAAACATGCGAACACGTACGTAGTTCGTCATATACGAAGATGTTACGTTGAACGTTTTGTCTCCGTAGTGTTGACTGGAGTGACGTTATCATTTGCTGCAGTTGCCGTAGCATATTATTATCGTCTTGAGGTGTTGTCCTGGCGGTGAATAAATCTCCCGGAAGTCGTATTGTGGTGGCGTAGGTCAGTTCCACTGAGCTAATTTTGGTGTTATCCCGTATTGCAGCTCGGAGCCCGAGAAGGATTATGGGCAGTTCTTTGACTCGGTTGCATATGGTCGTCAGCGCGGCTTTCAGTGTCCTGTGCCAGAGTTCTACTTGTCTATTGGCTTGCGGGTGATACGCCGTGGTGTGGATATGGCTGATGCCCAGCTGTTTTGTCAGTTTCCAGCATAATTCGGATTCGAATTGACGTTGATCCTATGTAATAGTTGTCGGTGTTCCGAATCTGGCAATCAATCCTCTTAGCAGAACTTGGTAGATGGTTTCGGCGCTGATGTCCTTGACGAGGTATGCTTCTGGCCATTTGGTGCATCGATCGATCATTGTTACGCAATATTTGCAATCCTCAGATGTAGGTAATGGCCCGATGATGTCAAAAAGCAAGTGCGCGAAACGAGCGGCGAGCGGAAACTGCTTGATCGGCGAAACTGTGTGGCGCTGCACTTTATACTGTTTGTCGACAGTAGGAAAATGGATAAAGGCATGCATATTATGTCTTATATGCATGCCGTTATCCATTTTTCTATGTCCGAGGTCAAATATGGCCAGAAATAGCGTTGTGATTGCAGGCGTTGCGTTCCTTTTACGCCGGGATGACTCACACTTCTTTCTTTCACTCAGTCTTCTTTCTGTATCACATGAGCTCGGTGGTTTGTGTAGTGCAAACATAAGCGGTTTGTGGTCTGTGTAGGCCGTGAATTCTCTGCCTTTCGATCATGCAACGGAAATACTTTATTGTCATATATACGAGGAGTATTCCCGATAAATGTTGATCACATTGTGTTTTCCTGTCCTCTATTCCATAGATCCCTACTTTTTAAAGACTTATTATCCCTTCATATACCATTTCCGACCAATATAGCTACACTTCTACATACTAATGACCTTTCTGTGTATAAATGTATTATATCTTTTCTTTTGCTCAATAATATAAAACTTTAAATGTAAATATGTATATATATTTTTTACAATCCTGACATTGGCTGAACGCACAAACCGTGCATAAAAGAAAAAAGAAGAAGAGTATTCCCGATCGTATCAATGCTGTGTTGCGCTAAATGCTTTTGAGAAGAAGGATAGGGGTTTCCATTTCCAGTTCACGAGCAGCTGGAGTACTGCTCCTGCACAGGTGGCTGAACAATCTGTCATTAGGCTTAGACGAGCAGTGGTGGATGGGTGAGATAATGCAACAGCGCGTTTTATGCTTCCTTTGCATTTCTCATTCGCTTCTTTTGACATTTTTCTTGGCATCGTGCAAATAACCGTTTAGTTCAGCTTAAATTTCAGCAGCGCAAAGTATACACTGACGTTAGAAATTGACCATTCCTAAACGTCGGAGCTCTTGTACTGCGGTAGGCAACGGAAATGAACAAATTGCCGAAGTCTTGTTCATTTCTTTAAGTCTGTAGATATGTGATAGCCCAGAAAATCTAATTCTTCTTTGCCGAATTTGCATTTCTCCACTTTCAATAGATATGTAGGTATATATGAAAGAAGCATCTCAGTAACGCGGACCAGTATTCCAATATGTCTTCGACACTTCTACGGAAACTGCAGCTGTCATTGGAACCGATTTACATATCCCGCGCATTGCATTTCGCCAACGACAGTCCAATCATCCTGCTGAGACTTCATGCGATTTTTGGAAGCGATCGATCTTCATCCCGTATTTGGATTCCCTTATATCCGCACTGGAACATCGTTTCTTTGATAAACATATGTTAATCAAAGAAACAATGTTCCAGTAGGCATATGCCTGCCTTGGGATTGATGATGTTGCATCCTGATGCGATATTGAAAATTTCATTGGCTGAATTCAAACAGAAAACACAAAGTTACTATGGGTTAGAATCCTTTGATAATAACGCCGAACTGCGATATAAACGATGGAAAGATATGCCAAGAGAACACCTAAGAGAGCTGAACTTTGTGGAGTTGTTAGAGGAGGAAACATTCTTCCTCCAAGATGGTACAAGAAAATTTAATTTTTGTAGCGAACATATTAGTTTCACTTGCCTGCCCCCCCCCCCCCCCCTAAACTAAATCCTGGCTACGCCCTTGCTCAAGCTACAGGGACTGGAGTGTGAGCCTGACGATGATCTATATCGTCTTCTTTCTTGCCCTCCGTACCAACGCTGATTCTGGGCTTGATGAGACGTACGCATCTCACAGAGTTCTTCCTTAAGAAGATTAATTATCTTCATTTGCTAGCTCTTCAGTCGTCCTTGTGAGTTCGCTCAATCATGCAAAAAGCGGCTGAACTGATTTTGATGAACCTTAGCACACATTTCAATTTTCTTATAATTTAAGGGGAGGCCCGGATAAGATTATAGGATAAAACTATCTTATGTCTTTCCCTGGGACTTAAACTACTACTATACCGATTTAATCCAAATCGGTAATAAAATTAAGTACTAGCGGCCACCCGTGACTTTGTTAATGTTTTATAAAAATATTTTGACAATCTCTCGGGAACCTAACATATTTTCGAGATAAAAAGTATCCTATTCCTATGTCACAATCCAGGTAATAAACGTTGTGTGCCATGTTTCATCAAAACCAGTTCAGCCGCTTTTTGCATGATTGAGCGAACTTACAAACTTTCACATTTATAATATTAGTAGCAGGGATGCAGAGGCGCTCAGTAGTCTCAGGGGGAGGTGATCGCCATTCGCTGTCTATACATTTTAACCGGGCGCTTAATAGAGAGCTTGGGTAATGATTGGTTTTGGATAGGATAGTTTTATTCTAGTTTTAAGGGGGGGGGGGGCTTAAAGTATAATTTATAGGATAAAACTATCCTATGTCTTTCCCCGGAGAGAGGCTGCGGGGATGAAAAGGAAAAACAACTTCCACACACAGACGGAAGTCGCGGACACCCGCTAGTTGTCCTTTAAACCCTCACTTAACCTCACTTCTTTAATAAACAAAAAAACACCATGAAGAAAAGGGCAGTTGAAATAAACTCACACAAAATTTGTAAATACATAATTTTATTAGAAAATGAAAACAAAATTTCTTACACTACCTGTATAAGGCACGACCAGTCAAATTAAACCGCTCCAAGCACCACGATGACTGTATACATTGACAAGTTGTTAAATCAACATTTATTATGTAGGTAATTTGTCAACCAATTAACACGAACCCAGGCAAATAGTTTGTGTTTGATTTTAATTGTTAAGTATTTGCAATAATATATATATATATATATATTTCGATATTATATTGATATATTTTTCGAATACAAACTATTTGCTCAGTACGTTTACTCTTGAAGTGACAAACCTTCATTATAAAGCGCAGCAGCGAATATTGAAGCAGAAACAAACTTACATTTTACAGTACATAATCACAATCGGCTGTACAAAAATTTTGTTTACAAAATATATACAATTAAAATTAATTATATAATATTATGTATATGGCCCGTACCAACTCATGTCGATGTACAATTTAAAAAAACTATTCATATGAGTGGTGTAGATATGATTTTTTTTTGTTTATTATGTAGGTATGTATGAGTGATTTTTGTATGTTACTTTTCCGTTTTTGATATGTTATTCAGTGAGTATATATAAATAAGAAAGGTGTTAAAATGTACAAGTAAAAAATTCGTTACAATAGCAACGCTAATTTACAAAATTTACATACAATGGTTATATTTAAATACACTACGATCTGTGCGTTGCGTTCATGGTTTGACGGAGGTACAGTTGAAATAGTTTTCTATTGCAATAAAATACAAATAGTGCGTGTTTATAGTCTATATATACTACAAATTTTTCTTACAATTTAAGCACACAGTTAGCGTATAAGTTATAACACAGCTTATAAGTTATAAAGTCTAAACAAAATGCAAAATTCTTAACACCGAAATAAATTACTAAGTTCCGTGTCAACGTAACGCTAAAAATATTTTGTTAATATAATGTATGATAATAATAATAAATCTTATTTGTATGTCTTTGTACCAAATCATGATTTAGGCAGAATTTTTGTAATTTTGAGCTTTCACTAAATGAGAATATACAAAAGAGAGAGCATGTTCATTAACCAGAGGTTGAAATGGGAAACTTTTCAGTGTAAGAAAAGTGAATTTCGCACCTCACCATTCCAGGGACAATTTTAAAAAATTTTGCACGGAGAAAAATTTTCAAATGTCGAAAATACCTTGAAGTTTTCGTTTTTATATTCCAACAACGAAAACATACTCACCTATAATTATATAAAATAATGTCAACAACGTTATCATATTTAGGGAACAACACATTTATAATACTTTTAATTTTGACATATCCGAAATGAACTTTTTTTCACGTTTGTTTAGCACAAGTTATTGTCAATAAATAAATTATTTAAATCAAATTTTACGATTGGTCGAAGGTTAACAATTGGTGAAACTACATCTCAGCGCGTTCCTCGTTACTTTCATAGCTCCATCTCTTTCTATCTTATGGAAGTGACATAATTTAAAGTGAGACAAATACATAATTCTTTTCCAACACTGTCACTTTGTTGCGCGATAAAAAGTTATGGAGCGAAAAATCTTTTAAAACGCCCACCGATACAGCTGCTCTCAATTTTTCCTTATAAAAGTAATGGGATGAACGAAATTTGCTAAATGATAATATAATAATTAAAATTAGTATCGACAGTGGTTAGACGAGGTAAGTCTACTATTGATAATACTAAAAGCCATATTTCTTCCCCAAGGTCCCAATTTTAAGAAAAAAAATCAATTTAATTTGTAAAAAGTTTCTAAATAGAAAACCTAGTTTTAGTAAAAGCAAATTGGCCAGGGTAATAATAAATAGGTTGGTATAAAAAAATGAACAAAGTTATTAAAGACACAACGTTTCTCTGATCAGTCGTAGTTTCTTATACTCTAGATTTAGTCATTAGTTGGGACTCTGCGGCCAAATGTTGGGGCAGCAGACCAAATGTCAGTAATGATCGACATCTGCAGTTGGCGCCACAGAGTATACAGATGGTGGCCTGGAAAAAAAACGAGTGAGCCTTACAGTAGTCGCGTATGATGTGTAACATTTGAAACCTCACCTTATATTAGTAAAAAAAGAAATAAAACCTACTACAAAAGGAATAACTCATTTGAACATTTTGTTCTAAAATCAAATCAAATAGCACGCGCTACCCAAACTTCCTATTACACACTTCCGTCCCACTTCACGTAATCACTCCCACAAATTGAACGAAAGCGAGAGGAAAGATGTTACACATCAACAATGTCAAAATTTATCGTAGTACTGATTTCCACACAGAACCCTGACGAGGATGCTAACATTAATATATTTCAAGCAAGTTGACAATCTTAAAAGAGAAAATAACAGTGACAACAACAGCGACAACTAGATTGTATAGACTTTGTATCCTTTGCCTTCTATGTACGGAAGATATTTATAGAAAATAACTTTGTACCCGTAACAAGGGAATATTCAAGTTTGTTTTCGAAGAGAATGTTTTGAGAGTTTCTTCTCAGCAGCTAATATAAATCCTTGACAGCCGTTAATTCCCTAATTAACATTTTTCTTGAACCTATTAGTTATTGAACTATTCAAAAGAACCGTATTATGCTTTCAATTTTCTGTTACTGATTTTAGGAGCTATATTATCTTTCTAATTGATGTTGAATTCAACGAACTGGAAATGATATGGAAGCATTACTCTCTAAGAAAGGCCGCTAAAACGTAGTTCCAAACTAATACAACTAAACTTCAATACTAATGCGTGTGCACACAGACAAAACAAACTTTGACAAATGAAGTATCTACAAATAAATTCGGCTATCTATTAATTTGGAAAGATAATGTTAAACGGAATTCTCACTAATCTCATGATCGTCGTGTTGATCGTATTTCTTTCGCCCCGCCCACATGATTACATTTTGCGTGGAACCACTTTGTAGCGCAGTTCGTGATCTATATTATTATCGATTCGTTGATTGAACTATTCAAAAGAGCTATATTATCTTTCTAATTTGATTTTGAACTATTCAAAAGATATATATTATCTTTCTAATTTGATGTTAACTATTCAAAAGAGCTATATTATCTTTCTAATTTGATGTTGAACTATTCAAAAGCGCTATATTATCTTTCTAATTTGATGTTGAACTATTCAAAAGAGCTGTATTATCCTTCCAATTTGATGTTGCACTATTCAAATGTTCTACATTATCCTACCAATTTGAATAAAACATCACAAATTATTACCTTAACGCTCTTCTTGGCGCAGGCAATCTGGAAGGGCGAGGCAGTGCTGAAACCGGCCTCGGTTCGTTCGTCACCACTGAAGCTAAAACAATCGATGAATTCTTTAACATAGGGCGATTATTTCTACATTACAATCAAGCAATGGGGGATTTGATAAGTTTTAAAAAACGATCTCACGTAATTTAATAATGTTTATGGAGTCCATAAAAAGTGGGCGTTTATCATTATGTTGTGTATATGGGTAAAAAAAACTAAATCAAAAGCTCCATTTTCAAGTTGCCGCGAAAACGTTTCTCTGGACAATATGGCGTCTCACTGGTGTGTAACACGACCAGTGTTGCCAACTCGGATTTTGAAAATGACGTAGGTCCGATGAGAAAATTAGGTAGAATTAGTAAAATTTGCATATGAAAGTTCGTAGATCTACGTACTCTGCATTGACAGCATTTACCATGCTATGGTAGACATTTACCATCAGACACAGACACTGGTGACTGTCGATTCTGGCATGATTTTCTAAACTTAAAACTTAATTTAAAATCAGTCTCTCCTTTTCGTTATGTATAAAAAATGACAAAGATACACTGTTGTCAAACAGGCTAGTTGACACTTTTTGAAAATACGTTTTAAATGGTTAATAATTGGTCAATAGTTTTTTTTCAATCTATTAAAACTGAAAAAAATGTATTGTATTTTTTTTTACCTAGAAAGCTATAAAACTTTAATTTTACAAAAAGAGTTCATGGACACACAAAAACCCTGTTGGCCATTTTAGTCTATAGATTTATCTATGCTATGACGTCAAAACCATTTGTAAACAAACACTCGCAAGCACGTAGGAAATAAACTATATGAGTTTATATTAGAAAACCATAATTGCTAAAAGATTACATAAAAAGTGTAGTAATTATCATGAGTTAAAGACTCCAGAAAAGTTGTGGTTTAAATTGCCTAAAGAAATAAATATACCTACACATGAACACATGTTTAAAACTTGCTAAATCCTATAACTTTATCGACTAAAAGTCATTTCTTTTTGCAGAGATCACTTCGATGTAAGTATTCATTGAATAAAAATTAAATTTTAAAATACAATCTTTAAGGTTATGAATGTACCTACTAAGTCGAAGAGTTTTGTCGTTTCTGCTTTCACAAATCCGGCGTCCAACATTAATTTAGTCAACAAAATCAATAAACGTAAACTTTTCTACAAGATATGAGTTTTTAGATACATTTAAGTCCGACGAAAGAAACTATAATACGTGCTACTGTGGTTTCTTTCGTCGGACAATGACGTTTAGTTGTTTACAAATATTGTGACGTCACAATCATAGTGGAGAGCGTTTTCTGTGTTTAAAGAGCATAGACTGAAGTGGTGGCCCTAGCCGACCACTCCTGTCATGTTTGGTTGCGCTCAATAAATTTGCTCATAGTCCAAAGACTGATTGCAAATAATATATATAAAAAAAAAGTATAGACTAAAAAACAATTTTTCAAATTAAATTTTATGAAGTGGAATCGATGTATTAAGGTTCCTCATACCAAAAATTATAAGAAATATACATTTGTAAAGTTTTTAAGTGAAGTAACGGAAAATATGCTACTTTATTCTAGTGAGTTATGTTATTTTGCAAATTTGTACAAATTAAAAGAAAATACGTAGATTCTGGGACTGAAATTAGTAGGTTTGCAGAAAAGGCCTAAAATACGTAGATATACGTAAAAAGACGTAGAGTTGGCAACACTGAACACGACACACGACTGTCATGAAAACGTCAAACGATACAATGTAATGACACGTTAACCGGAAGTTTACTATCGTGTGACGTCATTTTAAGCTCCACCAATCCCAAGCGTTTTGAGTCACGTGGCAATAGACAAGAAAACTATTAAATTTTCCATGGGTTTGTAAAATTATGAATATTTTTTTTACAAAAATAGTAATTCTAAATACAAATGCTAACAATTGGAACTTTATTTTTAATACTGGCAAATATCCTATTGTGATGAAAGGAAGTCGTCACATCTGTAGGTATATGTAAATGTATTTATGTGGATATATTTATTTTATTAAGTATATAAGTAATTAAACAACTATACATATATAACACCTATATTTTAGTAAAAAACATTCATCAGTTCAACATGTTACTAAAAAAGAGAATTTAAGTATTCTTTAAGAAATACCAACAAATTACAAGTTATTAATACACGGACTAGTTATGGGAGGAAAACCATATTATCTGAGGGAGTACAACTGTTTAACGTAGTATCTCGTTGAAATGAATTAAAAAATTGCGATTGTATAAATACATTTAAAAGTAAATTAAAAGAGTACACCACACTTAACTTTAAAATTTTATAATAGGGAAATTCTAACAATATTGTTATCACAAAGCTATACAATAAGTCACAATTATGTAATAACTTTAAACTTTAATTTTATTATCTATTGTTTTTTTTTCATTTCTGTATGTAATATGGGTACTACACCTGAAATAAATGTTTATTATTATTATTAATCGTAGTCTGTGAATACGACCGCTAAAGTGACATTAGACTTACTTGGGGCGGGCCTCTGCGCGGGCACAGAAGTAGGCCTGGAGACCCGCAGCTGTTGAACACCCGCTATAGAATACGGTCGGGTTGTAGGTGGCTGCAATGGTAACATACATTTAATTAAACACCGAAAACGTCTAACATAATATATATATTAAAGAAAGAAGATTATATATAAATCAATTACTGTTCGTACGTCTCGCTAAAACTCGAGAACGGCTGTACGGATTTATCTTATCTTGGTCTTGAAATGTTTGTGGAGGTCTAGGAAAAGTTTGAAAGGTGAGAAAATATGGAAAAATTGCGAGTAAGATAGTAAAAACGTCAATTTAATTTTCCCATATAAACTGTTCTATCTTCTTTGCTGTCAAACATTTGACGTTCGTCCCTTTTGGTACGGTAGACTCAGGTCCGTCATTTCTTCCAAATTATTTTAACCCGTACTAAGTACTCGGGGTCAACTAGTAAATAAATAAATAAATCAATCGTGAGTGGTAGTGGAACGAATTAAAAAACTAAAATATATAACTATAAATACACAACTACACACAATACGCTACGAAATAGCTCACGGTTGAGAAAATCTTTCACTTTTTTTCGCCTAGCCCCCATCCACCAAGTCCTTACCGTCCGAAAAGGAACTTGGTTCCAAGAAACCTGCTATAGCCGTTCAAAAACTGTTTTGCTTAAAAATTAATTATTCAAATCACTCTAGTGACTTTAATGAACTCAATCCCCCTTATTACAAAACGCGGACTAAAGTTAAAATAAATATTTCCCACACTCAAACCAATTAGCTTAGCTCCAAAGTAAGCACTGTAAGGCTTGTGTTATGGGATACTAGGGTAACGGATAGTACACACATACTGTACATATTTAAGTATATTTATATAGAAATACATATTAAACATTCATGACTGGAGTATAAATGCTCGTATTCATAACACAAACATCCGCCCCTGCCATTTGAACCCGGGACCTCACGAGTAGGCGACACCGTCAAACCCGGCGTACGTACCACTCGGCCACGGAGGTCGTCAAAATATAATAAAATAATATCGTAATTAAATTAAAAAAAAATCGTGAGTGGTAGTGGAACGAATTAAAAAATATAAGTATAAATACACAACTACACAAAATAACGCTACGAAACAGCTCCCGGTTGTGACGGAAAATGTTACACTTTTTTTCGCCTAGCCCCCATCCGCCAAGTCCGTACCGTCCGAACAGGTACTTCGTTCAAAGAAACATGCTATAGCCGTTCAAAATCTGTTTCGTTTTAAATTATTGATGTGTAACATTTTTCCTCTCGCTTTCGTGCAATTTGTGGGAGTGATTACGTGAAGTGAGACGGAAGTGTGTAACAGGAAGTTTGGGAAGCGCGCCATATTTGATTTGATTTTAGAACATAATGTTCAAATGGCTTATTCCTTTTGTAGTAGAGAGAGAGAGAGAGATTTTTTATTAACCATTTGTTACGAGTATTACAACAACAATGAAAAAACACATAAACATTAACATAATAAACAAAATTAAAAACTAACTTAAAACTATAAAAGTAAATTAATGGTTAATCAGGACCCTGCCTCAGCATGATGCTGTTGCCACACGTTACTATGCGAGTGACAATAGCGCTGGTATTCTGCTGGTAGTAGGTTTTATTTCTTTTTTTACTAATATAAGGTGAGGTTTCAAATGTTACATAGCATACGTGACTACTGTAAGGCTCGCTCGTTTTATTCATATCGCTCTAATGACTTTAAAAATCTCAATCCCCCTTACTACAAAACACGGACTAAAATTAATCTTGGTTTAAACCTAAAGTCAGTGCCGTCTTTGACCTATTGGAGGCCCTGGGCATATTAGGATAATGGGGCCCCTATGACCCCCGATTGGTGATTTAACATGAACTAGAGACTTTGCATTTGATCTGAGGGGGGCCGCTATCGATCGAGGGGCCCTGGGCACTTACCCAAAGTGCCCACTGGGAAAGAGGGGTGTTTGGGACATACTTGATAAGACGTTTAATTACGTATAAATTACAATAATATGAATGAAAGAAAAATGTGTATGCGTATTGTGCGCCGTATAAAATTCGAATGCGCGGGTCTTCTTCGTGGCTTCTTTCACCCGTTACGTTTCGTTTTTCGTCGTTGTGCAAATTGGAGACACAAGCGTCGACAAGGGGTCTGCCTAAAGTTGTGTCTTTGTCTTCTTTTTAGCAAACACAAGTAACAACATCAGTTTTAGTCCCGGTTTAACTTTAGTTATGTTTGGGTTATGTAGTTAGGCCGATAGAGTTTTGTCTTTCACAATAGACTGCGCAACTCAATATCAGCAACACCCTATTAATGTCCCTAATGCTAGCGCATAGGCCTTCCCAAGGAATAGGCAGATTGGGCCGTGACCCACCACGAAGTTTTATCATCAGCCTATTAATGTCCCCACTGCTGGGGCACAGGCCTTCCCTATGGATGGAATAGGGAGATTGGGCCATGACCCACCACGCGGGCCCAGTGCGGATTGGCGGGTGCTAACGACTGCAGATGCAGCCGGGACCAACAGCTTAACATGTCTTCCGAAGCACGGAGGAACTCGAGATAGCAGATTTTTGGTCACCCATCCAATGACCGACCACTGCGAAAATTGCTTAACTTGAACGATCGCGCTAACCACCCAGGCCATCGAGCTCCTCAAAACTAGAACGATATTCTCTCTTACATCTGTATAATTAAAAAAATGCAACCGTCACTAACTGCCATCTATCAACAGAATGTGTGAAACTGTGGCCGTGATTCGATCAGATAATTAAAATAAACTTATAAAAGGATCTTCATGCATGAAATTTTGTTTTTGCAGCGTTTTGTTCCATTAGTTTTATCTTTCAATGGGACGGAACCCTTCTTGTACAAAATAAGTACACCTCAAGTTCTCATTTATTAAAATATCATGCATCTTAACCTTAAGTAATTCAACTCTTGACATAAAAAGTGTTAGTGGTAATTTTTAATTTAGCTTCCCAAATGATCATCAATAATAAAAACACATTGGCATTCAGACATACACATAAAAGTTAAACGACGAAATAAATTTAAACCAACTCGACACATGTCATGTATGATGGTTAAAGTTTGTGTTAATTTTATTAATGGAGCAGTAAGTACTCATTTTCATATAGTGGAACTGAATTCGTTATCTTTACGATGCGACATAAAAATAACCTACCAGTACCAAATATATATCCTACTAAATTGTTCACCAGTACTCATCAAAAACTATCAATCAGATTTCTATATTTTAAATTTTACATAAATCGACAGGTTTTCGCATTAGACATTAGGTATATGCGCAATAACATTTTGAATAATTGATAAAAAATATATTATTAATTAGAAATTTCTGGCCGATTTTATTTACTATAGTTTGACGATTATAGCAAATCGTGTTATATGTAATATGTTACTCACGGGCATATGATGGTTTCGTATCGCGGCCGGCGCCTGCAGTCCACTGCCGGCCGCTCGAAGCTAACACCACACACAAGTTAGCACAAAAAACGCAATGTATACCCAATGAAAGCGTTAACACCTCAGACATAGATCGAAATAGACAACGCAAGTGTACGTATTTCGCGTGTCAAAAATACAACGAATCAGAAATAATATAGAATACGGACTGCGCTAAAAACTAGTTTCACGCAAACTGCGATCAAACGGGCGGGGCAAAAACTGCGATCAACACACCGATCATGGAATTGGTTGGGATTTCCGTTTAACATTATCTTACCCCGTTTAACTTGAATGGATAGCAGAGTTCATTTACAAATATTTGATAAAGCATTTCGTTTTGCGTGCGTGTCGCTTTCGCGTTAGTGGTATGAGTTTGGAACCATGTTTTAACGGCCTTTGTTAGAGAGTAATGCTTCCATATCATTTCTGTGATGTATTTTGGCTTATATCGTAGTGTGCGTTTGTTTACTACAAAAACTTGGTGCTTTCGTTTAGATGCAAAGACCTTGATATGCAAGTGCACGCGTGTCAGTCAGTGATTTTTGTTTGCCGGGTTTAGATAATTATTAATTACGTGTTTGTTAAGACTGGATTGGAGTTCAGAGTTCATACAGATAATAATAATAAGTCAACTTAGTAAATTGTGTACCTACATATTATTGAAATTGATAGTTTTAATTTGTTTTTTTTTAACTGTTGACTTTTTAATTGATTAGACGAGTTTTGTGTTGGTTTTCAAAATATCGTCAATTAATTGTTTCTGATTGTCGTTAGCTAATAAAACCAAATCTTAACACAAACTAGTGAATTGGCTAAGTTAGGCACATCTGAAATCGGATATCTAAAAACGGATTTTGAAATCTGAACTCCGATATATATCCGTTTGCGTTCAAAACCAAAAACGCCCATGTCTAATGGGTCTTGACTTCCCATTTCAATTCTATTGTGGTGTCGTAAAAAGCTTTTTCACCACTGTTTTGTTTTCGTGAATACTGAATGAATTATCATACAATTTGAAGCACTTGCGTCGTCTACTTAAATCAAGATCTGTGGCAACACAGACAAACATACCGGCATTAGAAGATTTCAGAAACGCTTTTATTTATTAGAAATCTCAGAAGTTGCTTTATCACAAGTAAACGATAAGCAAATTTATTACTAGGGTATAAATAGCGATTCAGATGGGACATGTACAGTTAGTATATTAAAAATGTTACAAATTTATGGCGTCATACAGGTACAGTCCACTGCCCAAGTGCACTTTTTCAATAGCATATCAAGTTTTAGGTATCCGTAAATGAAACACAAAAAATAAAAATAATGAAAAAACATAACTAAGAAAAGCAATGAAAATTGCCTAAAGTTTTGTTCCTGTACAACGAAGTAAATGATAGATTTACATTTAAACAGTAGTCGATTCCTTTTTTGAAAACCGTTATATTAACGCCATGGGTTGGCACAAAAAAAAAGTGTTAACACTGAGTCAGTACTGGCATGCCAGTTACATTGGCGCCAGCTAATATGTGCAATGTAAATCTATCATAAGTAACAACCATGCCAAATGCGGTATTATACTGGCACTTCACATTGCTATTCTTTTTGGCTAAATCAAATTAGACAGCATCTCTCCTTTTCATTCTTTATAGAGCATGATAAGGATATAACTGTCAAATAGGAAATACAAATAGCCATGTAAATCGCTAGTGTTAGATACAAACAATAGTATTGTGAAAATAGCAGCCAAAAAATAAAGCAGCCTCTGTTAAATGAGTGAACCAGGAGCTCTACTCTCTTTCTCCAAAACGAAATTTCGGCAACGAACTTATTTTAAACGAAATTTCGCCAGTGACTCTATTCTTTTTCATTTTCAAACACGAAACACGCACATAAATTTCGGAATCACAAACAATTTTCGTGAACGAATGGAATGAGTCATGTTTATGAGTTAATTTTATCTCTACTTTTTAGACAACCTGTTTTACTTGGGTAAGTAATATTGTTATATTACTTTTCAACAAAAGTTTCGATGACATTAAATGAACCTTCTTTGACAGTGTTAGCCGACTAATTTGTAGAGTTGATGCAATCCACTTAATTTGACATGTTAAAAACGTTCCTTACGCTAACCCAGCGTCGTCCTCAAATTGAGGTTAAAATTTCGAAAAATATGCTGTCAAATTTTTCGTTCGAAAGTGTTGTGAATTAGAGTAGGCTTGGAGAATTTAATTGCCAAACTATTTTCGGACGAACGAATTTTCGAAATGAATAAAAAGAGAGTAAGGAACATGCGCAATTTCGATCATCATTTAGTTTTTCGTTGAAATACAGTAGGCCTCCTGTTTATGTTAAATGTCAACGAGGTCTAAACACGAAAGCAGCTTTAAAAGTTATGACTTTGTAACTGTACTCAGGGGCACTTACCGGCACCTCCCTTATATTGCTCACTTTGCGACTCTATACAAAAAATATCAATTTCAGCAAAAATCTTTATGCTAATGTTTAGGTTAATTGTTTGATTATACAGTTAGCTTTTTGAACAGTTTTAAAAATGTCTTCCCGTTTCCAAACTTCTGTTTAAGCAAAGCATTACTTAATTGCCATATTTCGGTACTCATTCCAAAAGCTATTAGGGAAGTAGAAACGCTTAACCTAAACATTAGCATACAGATCTTCGTTGAAATATATTGCCATTTTTATGTATAGAGGTGCAAAAATGGGATGGCCGGTTAGATGAGCCCCTCAGTGTGTATTTTGAAAGAAAAAAGTGTTATTAAACTTACATCTCTGGGTACCATCAGTTGACTATGCGGGCGTTCCCGCCGCAGAGTTTCCGTGCCTTGCCGCACGAGCGCCGGTGGCGCTGCCGTCGCGGGCTTAGGTCTCTCTTCCTCTCTCTGCAATTTATTCATGTAATCATTTAAGCATTTAGGTATAACAGACACTTTATGTAAGAACTTTCTAAAAGTTTCAACAAATTAATAAATGAGGAGCTGGCGACCAAAACGGTATAATTAAGCATCTGGTCAAACTACTTTTTTTTTACAGTCCGGAGGTTTCGGGCCCTTTGAATTTGAATCTCAAATAATTTTCAATCAAAATTGCCTAAAGAATGTCAAAGGTACTAAATTTATAAATTGAAAACCATGATACAAGATCACTGTAGGTATGACATTCAGTTTTATACAGCTCCTGAATTTTTTTTTGTAATTATACCGTTTTGTTCGCATGCTCCTCAAATAGGAAAATAGTACAAGCACGATTAACTTTTTTTAACGTTATTGACTCCACTATTGCGCCATATATATATTTAGTCATTTTCTCCTTTTACATTGTTTCCAAACGGATCATGTCTCTGCTACTTTTAACACCCAAACATGTTTACTGTGAAAGCTTATTGTCTACTAGGTATGTTACTCGAGAAGTTTCACCACTAAGTATACTGAGATAATTTGCTCTTTATGATTGATGGTTTTTTATGTGTAGTACGTTTGTCGTTAGAGAGCTGATGTTCCACTCGAATTGGAGCGCCCGTCTAGGAAAGTAACATCCACATTACAGAAGATCACAATGAAATATAAGTACCTTTTGGTGGTATTGTTTTTCTGTTGGTGAGTAATTTTCCAGGGCTCCAGGGGTAGGGGATTGGGTCAGAGTAGGCAATGGTGCGAGTGATACTTTTCGTAAAGCGTAAAGCGCAAGCGTTTATAGGCTATGGTGGCCGCTTACTTTTAGGCGGACTATGCTTGTTTGTTTGCCATACATTCAACATACAAAAAAATGTATCGGTACAAAGGGAATTAACTGAATTTTGCATTTTACTAATTTTTAAGCATTTAACTGCTAGGAGGCAAAATCTAAAAAAAAATATCTAGAAAAATATCTTCGCGGTGCTGGAAGCAAACGGGACTGAAGAACCCGCTGCCTCCGCCATCCGAGCGGATGCATTGACCAATTATGCTACCACGAATTTCTTAGGCTGCAAGGCAGCGCCATCTCTTCGCATTGTTGGTAACCCACAATGTCAAACCACCTTCACAAGTATTAAACATTTGAAAGAAAAACAGCAATTGTAGTATATATTTTTTTTAATTTTTACTTTTAACAGTTAGAGTATTTTTCTTGTACAATTTCTTAAGACATCTATTTTACATGATTCCTTATAAAACTTACCTCTCTTTGCGCGTTCAACTGCGCATGGTCCACGGCCACGGTGTAAGAGTCCCGTCTAACAGGCGGCACGGGAGCATTGGGCTGTGTGGGACTCAGCACCGGGTTGGAGGCGTACACTCCGCGCCGGACCATCGCTCTGCCGGCGGGCGCGCGGGCCACGCCGCTCCCGGTACTGCCTACGCGCGACAACACGCGTTATGAGACTTGTTGATAAAGGCGACAGTGGTATACACTGCTCTATTGATATTACGCGGGCGCGCGAGCCACGTCCTTGCCGATAATGCCTGCGCGCGACAACCAGTCTTATGGGCTTGTTGATAAAGACGTGAGTATACACTGCTCTTTTGCTATTAAGCAGACGCGAGAGGCGGCACTCCGTGCCGGATCATCGCTCTGCCGGCAGTCGCGCGAGCCACGCTGCTCCCGGTACTGCCTACGAGCGACAACACGCCTGATGAGCTTGTTTATAAAGGCGACAGTGGTATACAGTTCTATTGCTATTACGCGGGCGCACGACCCACGCCGCTGCCGTTATTGCCTGCGCGCGACAATACGCCTTATGAGCTTGGTGATAAAAGCGAGAATGATATATACTGCGCCATTGCTATTACGCAGACGACGGAGTCACGCCGCTCGGGTTAATGCCTACGAGCGAAAACCGGCCTTATTCACTAGGCACTAAATACTACAGTGGTATATATATTGACCTATTATTAAAATACTGATTATGGTACTTCAATGCAGGGAAATGTTAATCTAAAATTTTATAAAATGTCGGCCAAATAGATCCTTGACCGAACGCTCTTTCGATAAGGAACTAAAATTTCAGCGAGCATGATTATTCCATAATCTTATAACTTACACGCGAGATCTATCTTTATTTATACACGTAACATCAAAAACAATGGTGAGGATATTTTTTTTATATACGGAAACTAAAATTACAGATACCAGAAAACTCTTACTTCAAAACTTATTGTTTTCATATATTTCTATCCATCACGTTTTCAATCAATATTAGCTAATTAGTACAAATTAAACAATCATTGCAATGTATCAACCTACCTTTAATGAGGGAACAACACCTTTAAAATCACGACTCAAATGTGTAGGTATGTGGCATAAAGCACATTATCCTTTAAGCGCATTAAGCTTCGATCAACAATAGCTAGACAAGGCCTCACAAATTAAAAAAGCTAAAATAAATATAGCATCTAAAGTGTTAAAAAATATTTATAACAACGGTCATTTAGAAATATAGGCCTATACCGTAACAAATAAGACAGGAATTAACTCACATAAAATTTTACTTGCTTAAACCATATTGGAACGCAACCCTCATTTTGCCGTTTTTTTTTATAATAATAATGCTTTATTTCTTCTCCTCACAATCCCATGCACAATAAATACAAACTTATTGAATTAATTAATGTCTTAGTGACAAGATTGTGGAGAGACTGGTATCTGAACTAGGCCGCAGCCTGTATCTCAGAAGACCAGTAATCTCCCCTCTTTACAGTGGTACATAACAACAAAATTACATGTTCTGAAAAAATAAAATAACTGTATCTTAACAATGTTGAAGAGAACTATAACATCAGAATGTAATGATTTAATGTAATAGGTAGGTTAAAATATAGTGTTTAGGTAATTGAAATAATGAGTAGTTTCTGGCGTCGCGTTGCTGAGAGCATGTGTGTGGGTGTGTATGTATGTGTTTGTGTGTGTGTGTGTGTGTGTGTGTGTGTGTGTGTGTGTGTGTATGTGTATGTGTGGTAAAGTGTGTCATGTGCAAGGATGCAGAAGATCTTCAGTCTCGTTATATGTTAACATATATAAAAAATTAAATATTTCTTTTTTACATTACAGTTAGTTTACAGTTAGTAACATATATTTAAATAAACTCCCACTTTGATGTACTCGTTATTTTTTCGACCGTTTTTACAATGTAGTGGGTTATCTAGTGGTATTGTTGATCGAAGCATTTAAAGCTTATAATTGCGTGCAGTTAGTGCTCACCAGGTATTCTGCTAAGCTCCCTATGCGAACTGTACTGTCTAAACTTGGAAGTCGGCAAGCCAGTTTTCCTAGGCACTGCTAACGGCGGTGCCATGCCTGTTTGAGGTCCTGGAAAAATATCAAATTTTCACTACTGCTGTGCATGGCGTTCCCGAGCATGATCTTGATGCAATGATTCGTGTGTGTAATAATGATAATTCTTGCATATGTATTTATATTCTACGTGTTTATGTTACCCTATCATTAATATGTGTGGTCTAGAATAGCACAATTGCAATGAGAATTCGAGATGCCATTTTCTTTTGCAGATTTAAATAAACATGTGATATTTGTGTGCTTGTATTCGGAAATGCTTATTCATAAGTTTTTAAACCTGATAAATGAAACTAAAGATTTATTGCGAATTTACCGATGGGATAACTATTGAAATAAGCATTGAGGATGACAGCAATGACCTTTTATAACTGGAAATAATTGTTAATGAAGTGCATTTCATAGTGAATGAATGTGTATTTATATCGACCATTTGACAGATTTCAACAGCTCCATTCGAACCCATAATGATATAGCAAAGCATTTTTCATTAAAAAAATTAACCAGTACACAACATCCACAAGGGCAAACCGTTATGAAGTTAATATAAAACAAGACAGTTATTTTCTCTACAACAATAATTTTGTTCTAGCTAAAATTAAAAGGCTAAAATAATTTATTGAAACACTGAGTATGTTAATTAAAGACTGAGTATGGCAGGTTATATTCAATTACAAACAAATTGAATATCCTGCCAGTAGTTAGACTTTTACTATCTCCACGGTTAAGTTAGATGCTGACTTCATGCCTATTACATTTTGGTTCGACTCCAAGATGGGAGACTAAAATTTTTTAATGTGTTGGTAAACAAGTAAGCAATACACTAGTTAATTGCAAATCATAGACTTAGAAAATTATTGCTCGTTTCCTTACCAACCGTGATGTAAAACTAGGCAGTTAATATTGATAGGGCAGCCTCTAGATCGTCTATGTATTGGTTGTTTTTTCTCTCTTTCCAGAGAGTTGTCCATTTCATTTCAGTCTATTTATCTATGTCTACGGTGCAAATTATTACCTAAGTACAAACCTGTATTCGTCGGCGATATTCTACTGGGCGGAGAGTGCGTTTGCGGTTGAACCAAACTTCTTTTCTCGGGGCTAACCCGACCAGCCAAAATATCCCTTTTAGCCGACGGCTTCTTGACCATCGTAGCGCTATTTATCACGGTCGTGTTGTGCATATCGTAGGTCCTTTCCATACCGGAATTGTTTGGACTAGGCACTTTAGTCACTGTGTACGATTTGTCGTCAACCATATCGTATATGGGTGATATTGTATTGTGCAAGTTTAACAAGTCGTTCTTTGCCCCCCTTTTCAGTGCCATGAGCGGTGTCGAAGCAATGTGTGGTCCTGCAATCCGTGTTAACGTGAATATGAACCCTGCTCTGTTTGTGTTAAGAGTTTATTTGGAAAGTACAAACTGTGGCGGTCACTGGGTTAATTATAAATCAAGCCACATTGGATATTGTTGATGAACTGTATTTCCCTATTTAAACTTAATATAAATTAACAAGTGTAGTGCCACTCCGGCGACGCACAAAACGTAACTGAACTCTTTCCAGTCACTTAATCATTCATTCTTATGTATGTTTCATACACAAACCGTGACAGGAAGAGAGTTTATCAATGATTTTTTTACTTTTAAAACCACATTATTGGTAAAGCATTGTAAAATGCTAATAGAAAACAGTAGTATCAATGTAAAAATGACTAGCAAAAGCAGGTGAAATGTCCACCACCTTTCCTGTTTCACCCGAACAACCAAAAATATAGTAACATTTATTGTGGAAAACTTACAAACATTAAGGCCGCGTTGTTTCGTCGATAGTAAAATTTGACTACAGTTAATTCCACGTCAAATACATAGTAAATACCAATTTTGACAATTGGTCATTAAGGTAGCTCGACAAATTAAATAAAAGTTTGATTCTGACGACGCACAGTGGTCAGGATTTTGAATATAGTGGTCATAGGACCCAAGGTTAATATTTCGCGCTGAAAAAAATCATGCGGACAGCAGCAGTTTTCATGTGATCCTATATTTTCGCGAAAAGAAAAATTTAAGAAAAAAATGCATGGAGCAAAACTGGTTTTTGTAAGTGTTAGCAATGAAACCATTTGTAAATTATTGTATTACATTTATTTATTAATTTCACCATCAAATCTTTTGCATGCACTTGCAGCCTTGGCCGAAATAGGCATCAGAAGTTTCAATTTTTTAATTCTAACTATTTGTGTCATTTAAAGGTTTTTAATCATTTATAGTCACATAATTCGTATATTTTCAATATTATAAACTTTAAAATGCATTATTTCCTAAATTAAATGATTTAGAAAAATAGATACAAATTATTTTCATATTTTACTTCTTAGTGGTTATCGCTGTTACCCAAAGCGCAGTTAGTGACCGAATGACGTATTGGCTGCTAATTTCCCCCTCCCATTGCCTAATATTGCTATCTCTTTCATTTTCTACTAATGCTATCTCTTTCTCTATTGCTCTCTTTTTCTCGTTAAGACCCTTGCTAGTTGCGTGCTTGTAAATCAAATAAAACAGATGGGAGGTCCGGCTGGAGCGTCAATAGACATTCAAATCTTGAAGAATCAACATACCTGGAAAATTTAACCTGAAGAAAACTACCTACTTAATCATGGCTGGATTTGGTACTTACCTGGACTATTACGTGTTTCTACGAAAAGGGGACCTCAAGGACTACAAACGACTGCATCAAGCAATTTTGGACTACATTTTGCTTTGAAATTTCGCAAGAAGATTCAGAAAAAAATTTTAACCTTAATCGTAGATGGACCGAAGTACACAGGGTCCAAAAAACATTCATGAAAAAGCATATGAGCTGGTTAGAAACAAGAATTAAGTGGCCTGGATGCGAATCCGTGAATCTCTCCGACATTTTTGACGAGGCCGAAAATTTCGATCATCGTTCCATTGAAGAAGAAGCAGCTGTTTTACCCTTTGCATCTACTTCGAAGGCGACTATTGATATGAGCACTTCTACAGACATGGTATCAAGAAAGCCATTTGAAGACCTAGGAAACAAGCAGAAGAAAAGGCGATCGCGTACATTACTTGACTATCCGGAAGAGGAACTGACTTTTGCTTTTATCACCAAACTAAAGTCTAATGGAAAAGAAGTTCTTGCTCGCATCATCGATCATCTTATGAAGAAGCCTGAAAAGGTTGGAGTTGTCGAATCATTTTTATTTATGAACGAAAAGAGCAACTACAAGCAAAGAAGTGAAATGGCAGAATTCGACGACTCCTCTGTGTTCATGACCAGCCTCGTTCCCCTGAAGCTAGGGGCCGAAAATATTGTTATTTGGGATAATCCAAAGCCATCTTCAACGTTTTATTGCAGACCTATTAAATTTCAGTTTGCGAAGGAAACAACTGACTTTGTTAAGCAAGAACAAGCGGAAATGGAAACAACTGACTTTGTTAAGCAAGAACCAGCGGAAATGGAGGAAGAAATACAAAATTTGACTGTTTCAAGTTGCGGAAACTTGGAAGTTACTCATGAGCTACACATGACAATGATTGATGGGAAAGTGACGACAATAATTACAAATACTCCCTCTGCAGCTACTTGCAATATTTGTCTTGCAAAACCAAGCGAGATGAATAATCTTTCTCAAATGTTTGCAAGACCTGTGCGGGAAGATGTATATCAATATGGATTGTCAACACTCCATATGTGGATTCGAAGCATGGAGTGTCTTTTACACATTTCGTATAATTTAGATTTTGAAATGTGGAGTGCAAGAGGCGAAAACAAGAACCTTAAGAAGTTTCGAAAGAACATGGTGCAATCGGTGTTCAAACAACAGATGGGACTTTTGATTGATCTTGTCAAGCAGGGCTTTGGAACTACGAATGATGGGAATACGGCCAGAAGATTTTTCCGAGAATACGAAAAGACAGCTCAAATAACGAAGATTGATGTTGATTTGATAAAACACTTCGCAGTCATATTGCAAGTGTTATCTTCTGGAAAGGCTGTCAATATCGTTCGATTCCTGCAAGGAGACTGCTGAACTCTTTGTACATCACTACCCCTGGTACAACATGCCTTCCAGCGTACACAAAATGCTGATACATGGCGCAGACATATGCAAACATTTATCTTGTCTTCCTATAGGAATTTTGTCAGAAGAAGCAGCAGAAGTAAGAAATAAGGACTTCCGAAATACCAGAGAGCGCCACACGAGAAAAACAGGAAGATTTCAAAATAATGAAGATATTATACACAATTTTTTGATATCTTCGGATCCATATATATCTCATCTGAAACCTAAATACGCCAATTTTACATCATCAAGTATGTTTCCAGAAGCGTTGCAGTTATTAATAACAGAAGAAATAATAGTAGTTGAAGATAAAGAACTAGAAGCTCCACAAAATGTGCCAGATCCTTTGGAATGATTTTTAAGTTTTCTTACATTAATTTATTACTTTGTATTATTTTGTATGTTTAGTTTACTTGTACGATTTTATTATGTTTTTATTATTCTTGTTTAAGTGTACTAATTTATAATTTTTGAAATTAAAAGTATAAACCACTTTCAATTATTACATTCTATTGTAAGAAATTATGCAAAAAAACAATTTTCAATAATTATTTTATTTTGTAATTTGATGTCTGTGTTGATATAGACAATTATATATTAGTACTAGCGGACCCGACAGACGTTGTCCTGTCTAGTATGGTAGCGCCGTCTGTCGGATCCAATGTAAAACATTCGAAAATCAACAACTACTAATAAATTAAAAATTAATTAAAAAAACATTGTCCAGCGGACAAAATTGTGAATCTAAACTATTCTCAGATCCCCTTGAACACACACAAAAAATTTCACCAAAATCGGTCCAGTCGTTTAAGAGAAGTTCAGTGACATACACACTCACAGAAGAATTATATATATAAAGATTGTACTTTCCCAAAACCCAGACTAATAAAGTATTGATTCCATGTATTTTTTTATATATTTATAGTATATAATATTATATTTTAAGTTAAACTGCTCATAAACGCCAAAGCTGCAAGTGCATGCAAAAGATTTGTTGGTGAAATTAATAAATCAATGTAATACAATAATTTACAAATTGTTTCATTGCTAACACTTTTAAACATTACGAGAAAAAAAAGTATTTCAGTTTTGCTCCATACATTTTTTTCTTAAATATTTTTTTTTCGCGATAATATACGATTACATGAAAATTGCTAGAACAAAAGTTGATGAGCGTTCACTTATCTGTCCGCATGAATTTTTTCAGCGCGAAATATTAACCTTGGGTCCTATGACCATTATATTCAAAATCCGGACCACTGTACGACGTAGCCTGTAAAGGCTACGAAAAGTCAATAAATAAATAAAGTTTCGTGCATTAACCCGTAAAAACTAGTTTTATTTAATTGGTTATTTCTTCCCAAAGGGTTTAACTATAGTAAAATATAACTATCGATGAAACAACACGGCCTAAGACTCATGACCCACTTATAAAAATCAAATCAGCATCTAATTATGAGGGCTATTTGTACTTAAGTAATGGCTGTTTATAAATTATAATAATAATAAATATTTAAATAAATTTATTAATATTTCCAACACTCACGCCAATTAGCCTAGGCCACAAAGTAAGCACTGTAGGCTTGTGTTATGGGTTACAAGAGTAACGGATAGAATACATATTATACTAAATACATGTTACACATCCATGACTGGAGTACAAATGCTCGTGTTCATCACATAAAGAATAAACATTTGCCCCCACCGGGATTCGAACCCGGGACCTCTCGAGTAGGCGACACCTTAGAACCCGGCGTACAAATCACTCGGCCACGGAGATCGTCATAAATATTTTTACAATAACTATACTTATCTACGGTAAATTTCATGTATCTCTAATCGTTACCCTAGTATACCATAACAAAAGCCTTATAGTGCTTAGTTTGTGGCTAGGCTAATTGGTGTGAGTGCTAGAAATATTTATATTAATTTATTTATCTATATTTTTTACTAAAAAACATCCACTCGGTATTTTTTCCCGTCTGCTGCCTGGTCCGCGTGGATATTTTTCTAGTTAGATTTTCTTTAGATTTAAACATCAAGCAGGTATACATGCTTAAAAAATAAAAATTATAACTTTTTTTTATCAAATATAGTATTTTCGAAACTGATACCTCCTATATATATATATATATATATATATATATATATATATATATATATATATATATATATATATATACATCTTGCTGATCATGTTGCGTCTTATATGGCGATTTTTGCTATTGATCCTGCGTCCGACCGACTTGATGCGTCCGGTATAC